ACGGATTATCAAAGGTATTCAGATGCCTAATTTCTCCTGATTTTAACGTGAGCTGCAGAGCCTAAACAGAAATTGCCGGGGTCTCCTGCACAGCTGATGGAAGCACTTAGGCCATCCTCTACCTGGAGAACACAGCTGCAGGTAAGAAGTGGAGAAAAGCAACGGATCTGAAGGAGGAAAAGACAAACAGACCACAGATTAGGAGAAAATGCACTAGGACCGATCCTCTTTAGCTTCCTTCGTGGCTGTGAGATGTATCTTTGGAAAAAGAAAGAGAAAAGGTGTTGGAAGCTGAAACTGTTAAATTATCATATAAAAAATAAAAGAGAAGGAAATCCCTTACATTTGACAGCAACAAGGCAGAAGAGGAGGGAGACACTGTGACTTGACCGGTAAAGCCCCATCTGTCTACCACAAGAGAGCACTGGGATGGACACACAAGCATACTTTTACAAAGGGCTGTGGCAGGGAAAAGACAGTGAATTTATGTTGCTGTTTTGGAGGTTTTGTTTTCTTTTACATATTTTTTAAATCCCCCTTCAGATATTGGTCAAGAAGGACCTCATGGAGTAGCAGGATCTACGCAGAAGATATGTCACCCACAATCAGAGAGCAAAGATGGTGACTCTGCAGGCCTACATTTTTCTACAGCTTATCTTCAGTCAGAGTCTGTTTACAACAGTTTTTCCAGTTTAAAAATTCTTCAGTATCTCTCTTTTCCACTAAAGAAAACAGTGTGTCAGCAGACATAGTTTAAAGTTAATTGAAGGTTTTAATTGGTATTTGTAAAAATAAGAAGCTTTTTGAAGCAACTGTGGGTATTACAATTCCACCTTGAAGTCTAGTCCAAGAGCAGGAGTGCTAGTGTTGCGTAACGACAAAAATAAATACGATGAGAGACCTACTGTTACTTAAATGTGGACAAGTTGGACCAGCTGTGTAACAGTCAATGCTTCTACAGTAATAAATGTTGACAGCAAAAATAAAAAGAATGCATTACTGAGACATCATCAAATGAGCCCTGTCATTACATGGAAACTCCACCCTGTATAAGCTTGTCAAAAAGTGTTACTGTAATCCTTTGAGAAGCCTCCTCCTCAGGCAATGGAGAAAAAATGTTCAGGATCAGCCCAGAACAGGTGTGTTGTGTTGTAATGCCAGGACTTAATCACATATCTCTTCACATTAATCCTTACAAAGGAATTAACTAATGTGAGCCCATCATGCCATGCTGAGATGATTATTTAACTATCCAATTAAAGTAAGCAAGCTAACAGGGTGTTTAAAAGTGGACATTCCAGGGTGTACAATATTTTACAATTATTATTTGTTTTCCTAAGTCCAGCACCAGGCACTGAAACTTAAGAGGAACTGATACTACATGCTCTTTTCAAAGTCAGTCCCTGAAAAATCTCAGTTCACACCTTGATCAACAGTGGCAGAGGCCAGTTGTCCCTGCTCTGAGATACCCTCCTTTGCTTACGCTCCTCAGTAGCCTTCATTTCCTCTTTGCAAAAATCCCCCACCGCCCTGCCTGAACCGTAGTTGAGGTACCAACATTTGCTGTGTGAGCCAGAGGTGCAAACGTGGTTAGAAAAGGTAAATATGTCCATCAGATGTATGAAATCAGCAGTGCAGCCTCAGAGTAATTCTGCGTACCCAGCCTGAGGTCGGGCTTCAGACCCCAGACCTGACTGCGCTGACAAGGGTGGGACTGTCTCCTGGCCAAGTGGCCTTGTTGTGGTTGATGCCACCGAACCCACCATTTAATTATCCCTTGGCCACTTCTCATCAGAAGTGCCATGTGAGCACAATGTCAGTATGCTGCTGATCGTACTTCATAATCTGTGGCTTGTTATGATGGCAATTTAAGTAGCAAACTTATAAAAACAGACACCATGACAGCTAGACCATGTATCTACAACGGCACGTCAACAGTGTGGTCCAAAAGGTTTCCCAAATGTTATCTGGTCAGCAGAGCTGGCAGGCAGCAAGCAACAGGCTCAATGCACCATGACTGACCCAGAAGCCTTGGAGAGGCAGGGAAAAGAGTGGGACAGCAGATGGCTCTCCCTTTAAGGAAGTCTGGGAGAGAAAATGGGTGCCTCAATTACACACCATTGTACCTTGAGACAGGTACGTTGGATTACTATGAGTACACACACACATCTCAACGTTTTCAAGGTATTTCTTTGGAGATTATGTAAGAAAAGGCTTACTCAAACTCAATATAGAAATCTAAAAATTAAATCCAATTGCTGGTTAAATGATGGTATTTTAACACTTGGTATTATAGAAATATGCCTCACAGTTGCCTGATTAAAACTTCTGAGGCTACCTCAGTAAATTTTACCAATACATGGATACAAAAGCACAGGATTTAGCTAACCATACTATTGCCACCAGCTAATGAAGTGACTCACTTCGCTCAGGTGAGATAAATTGGTGACGCTGTTCTGAGCATCCTGCCTACACCACCAGCAACAGGGAACTGACTGTAAAGCGACGCCTGAACAGCTACAGCCAACACGGGTACCATTAGCTGGCAGTGGTAATAGCCATCCTGTACCCAAATAACCATCAGAGGGCACTGCAAAACATGCTGTGCTAAACAGAATTATGCAATAGCTGTGTTGGAAGCTTTCATGTGCATGCAAGTTAAAAATCCAAAGTGGAGAAGTTCAGCTGCATAAACTGACTCATTAATGATGTCATGCTGTTATTTACAAGTGTTTCCAGTTCTGTTTTTCTCTCACGCACACTTCTGTTTACAGCAAAGCCATATAGATGACTACTCTTTTTAAAACACAAAAGAATTCTCTGCTTATCTTCTTGTGGTTTTATTGTTGCTATTAAGAAAACAGTAACAGAAACCGGACTCTGTATCCTGTTTGCTATTGTAATATTTGAGAAAAAAATTGCATCAACTGCAAAAAGATCTTAAAAAAAAAAAAAAAAAAAAAGGTGTTGACGTTTGAACACTTGAAGTTGTCAAGTACAAGACTTACAAGAAAGCTACATGTTATGTAGCAAACCACAAAAAGGCAATATTTTTTTTTCAGGCTAAAGCCCTCTATTGAGTACAGACTGCTTGTCAAATACTCCATCCTTGGAATAGCAATTTCATAAAGCAAGGTTATTTTTTGTTTTTAAACTTCCTCCTTCAAAGGCGAAAGTTTCTGTGCTCACCTTTTCGGTGTGCTTGTAACAAGTGGAGCCAAGGTGTAAGTAAATATGCTATTTGTGTATAGAATCCATAGTGTCTGGAAACCTGCCCCTAAAGTTTATGAAATTTTCCATTAGTTTTCTGAATGTCAAGATGTGTTAGAAAAAGCTCCCATTGGGGAAGAAATATCACTGGTGCTCTCAGTGACAGAAAAACAAAAGGAAATGTAAGAAAAGACTACAGAAGACTTGGACAAAGGTATATTTTAGAGGAATGTATGAAAATTAATTTTCCATTCTCCTTACATAGGTAGAGCACTTGGAGTAAGAAGTCAGAAGACATCCATATAGTGACTGTGGGGACATCTGTTACTGGATTGTCACTGTTCTTGGCCACCCAGTGAAGGACTGACAGCAGCTCAGGACACAGAAGCCAGCTCCCGGTTCTGTGATCATGGCCTCAAGGCTACTGAGTCTTCTCTAAGTTTTGTTTCCCTTACACCCAGACGTTTCTCAGTTGCAAACCCACTTGGTTTTATCCTCTTAAGACACATCTAGCACTATATCACCTGCCCCTACTTTCTTCTCTCAAATACTGATGTCCACTGCTCTGGACAACTGTTCTGATCCCCTGTTTCTCCCTCTGTTCCAATCCTATCACTCCTACTTCTAGGAGTGAAGTAGGAAGGAACTACTAGAAGTAGTAGTTCTACTAGTTCCTTCTCTAGTTCCTTCTCCTGCCCCTTATTCGCTCTTATCTCTCTGCCTTTATATGCTTTTCTTTCCTTCTGTTTTCTTCCTTTCTAACAGCTTTTATAGTTTTCAGTTCTGAACCTTTCTTGGAACTCATCTGTGATGTGTATTTTACCTTCTTATTAAAGCATTACAAAACCCTCATACTAAGCATATTCCTGTTAAATGACAATAAAAAATTCAATTATATTGTGCCTCGCATTTTTGTTCTAATCCTCATATTAAAATTTGTATTCAGTATTAACAAAATCAAAGTCAATTTCTTTACCAATGAATTACAGGTAGCATAAATAAAGAAGAAAAAATGAACAACAGATATTGTGCAGATACTATGCCTTCATATTATTATAACCATAATCAGTAAATCTCGAACTAATGAGATACAAGATTTAAATGTGAAGAATGTGTTTAGTGAATTATTGTCAATCAGTGTCTACACAAGAGGATAAGAATAATCTTGAATGGCAACACACCTATTATTACAAATTCCTAAGTACTTCATTACTTCAAAATGTCACTCTCAATTTATAGAGTAACAGATAAACATCTCTCAACTGTATACCTCACTGTGTCTACCTCTGTGTAATTGAAACACTGTTTTTGACAAGTCTTGTCATCACTTACCCAATTCTGTGTTGTTCTGAATGGTGATTCAGTACTGGCATAGTTCTGGGTAGTGTTGCTTTTCAATCCCCTTTTAAATGTATACATTTAAGACATATCAATCTATCTTTTTTTTCCCTACCTATGACTTGGAGTTGGTCATTGGGAAAAAAAAATCTGATTGTCATTTCCTTGTACGAGCATATTAAGCGCTATAACAACACTGTAAATGTAAACAGTTACTCATGACTAATATTCAGAAAAAGGAAACAAACTGAAAATGACAAGCCAAACAAAAGAGCTTTTGTGAGAGATCCAAATAAATACAAAAAGGAGACTTAACATTTTTAATTTCTGATGATGGAAGAGATAAAACATATGATATCCAACTTCATTGGCTAAAGAAATATCTGGTTAATTTTGCACTCCCAGTGATTTGTGGAAGCCAGGAGGTATCTGCAATAGCTTTCAATGCTCACCTCATCTTTTATGTCTTCCTGCTGCTGAGCACTGAAGATCTCCATTGCAGCCATCAACCTCATCATTAGTTCATCCACTGTTGTGTTACCTAGCAACAAAGAAAGATAGCTGAACTTCATATCATTAAAGTCATTAAACAAAAAAGAAGTAATTTCAGAATTAATTTGTAAGAAATAGGCAGACTTAAAAAAAAAAAAAAAAAAAAAAAAAGGAGTAGAAAATGCAAGTACCTCATCAGAATGCTTTCAGTTTGCCCTTTTATTGAAAATTTGAAATTGTTTTTAAAACAAATGTTGATCATGGGCTAAAATTTTAGATGGTTCAAATCTGAACAATTACTTTTGTGCTTGCATGGAATAACTCGATTTTTTCTTTTAATCACTGATGTTAAAGGAAAGTAATATATCTGAGGTTCCCTGACATGAAACTGATTTTAGAATTCCCAGGTATAATCAGGGAAACTGAAGCAATTGCTTAGTCAGGTAACAAAAAGTAGGATGTTGGCAGCAGCATCCAAATGGATTGGTTTAAAAAAAAAAAAAAAAAAAAAAAGGAAAAAAACCCAGAATACAGCGATTGAATGAATGTGTGCGCACGCATTTTTATTCAGGTGTAACTAGTGGTAAAACTTCAAATATTATAATATATTCTCTTCAGTGTATTTACTTCTAACAAAATTTGTAAAGCTAATAGTAGCTGAAAAGTCGGACATCTGTGTATATATGAAGAAATACAGCACAGGCACAGGAAAATAGATACCTCCTCACTTTTTTCTACCAGTGTGCCTCCAGTCTTCAGTTAGACTGAGTGATTAGTTTAATTTCCTACCAAGATGCACTCAGTCTTTGTTTCCTCTTCTTAAACTGAAGATTAGACTACCTATTACAGCCACCTGTCAGAGGAGTTAAAAGGTCTTAGACCATGAGAACCAAAACAATTCTAAATGGTCTAAAACTATAAACTCTTAACACCTGCCAACCTAAATAGTCTTTGGACATTTGCAGAACAATACCAGCAAGAGCTAGATTTATATTGGTGATACTGATCAAAATTTCAGAAGGAGTAAACTAACCAGAAGCCACAGCACTACAAAAGAAAACAAAACTGTCCCCATAGTTTCCAACTCCAGGAAAAAATAAAAATCAAAAGCAAAGTTAGACAGTCTGCATTTCAATAAATGCTGCTGGGACTTAAGTTTCTATATTGTTGTATCTCTTCTGTAAACATGCCTTCTCACCCAGCCCTGAAAGGCCCTCATTGTTCCCATTTCTAGCATTTGCTACCTTAGCAGAAAATGTTATCTCGCATGCTGGAACACACATGACTTCAGAGACTGCCATTCATTTGAGGGCATATTGTTAAAAGACACCAGTGTCCCAATTCATGGGAAAATAATGAGCACAGCACATTTGATTTTGTTAAAAGATAAATTTAAATAAGGCTGCAACAGATCATCAGTTTAGTTTAGTACAAAGATTGTTTGCAAAAAACCTGAGAAATCATTAAAACTTAATGAATGCAATGAAATAATTTGGATTCTTTTATAATATAAAGCTGCATTATACTATGACTTTGTGTCACCAAGTTGCTGAAACAGTTAAGTAATTTAAGCCAGTAAGCACCACTGACTTCACTGGGATAACACAGGTGCTTAAAGTTATACATGTGCTGAACTCTGCTGCAGAGTTATAAAAACAAGAAAATCTATTTATAAGGTTATGAAATAAGTTTTCTAAGTGACAGAAGTACCATGAATTAGCACTGTGCTGCACCTTACACTAAGGAGACAAAATCCATGCGAAACTCACAGTTTTGGCCATAGGAAGCAGCACTGCAGATTCCTCAAGAAAATGATTAATCCCATATGCAGAAAGAAACAGTAACGCTGTCTGCAAAAGGCAGTATTCCCTGAGGCTGAATTTCCTCAGGAAAGTAAGATTCGAATAAAGATTGCTAGATATAAGCAATAAATAAATGAGGACACAGTGTCATGAAGGAAAACTTGTGGAGAAAGCAGAAGAAATGAGAGGCAGCCGTTCTTTGATGTATTTTAATTTGAAGAGTTACTGAGAACAGCAGCCAAAGGGCATCACTCCACATCTAAGTCATCTTGCTGTCAGTGAAATCAGAGGAACGGTTATGCCAGAAAGAACGGCTCATGTAAGCCAGAAAGCTTCATTTATGTGAGATTCTATTAGCAGCTTAAAATTCTGATCTGATTTGGGGTCTCAATACTGCAGGTAGGTCTGAAAAAGCAACTCATGTTCAAATATTGGCCCACTACATGCAACAGGAGTCCACATGTTAACGAGAAACTGCACACAGAGAATTAAATGCATTCAGGCACTGCACAAAAAGTGCAGCCAAAATCTTTTGGAAATTGATAATTTATATGAATATATATTTGGAAAACTAAGTGTAGCTCCTTATTCAGGAGATTTGGCTTCTACTTTTAAAAAAAAGAAAAACTTGAACTACAATTCTACTACAGTCATGGCAACTTCAATCTCTAATGCTATGTTAATTAACACATTTATGAATAGTAGCTGTTTATGCCATGGCAACTGGAAGTTTCTTATATGAAATAAATTCTTATTCTGAACATCTTAAAAAATAAACGGTTAGGAAAGATGTCTTGTAACAGTTTCAATACTCACATAAGAACTACTTTTAACACAAAGCGAGAACTGTACCTTGTATTACATTCAATACTTCATTAGACGATCGTTTTCCCATAATAATAAGGAAAAGCGGAAACTGGTCTGTCTTCTGAGTTCGAATTGTTTGGGCTACAACACTCCCGAAGTGTCTAGTGCACATTGTCAGAAACCTATGTGAGGGGAAAAAAAGTTAACATTGTAGAGGTGTTCTGGAGTTAGTTTTAAAAAAAATTATGCTAATTTCAGCAGTTGAACTGAGTGTTATCTACTGTTTAACATCTATGCTTCTGCATCCAATTCTAGACCTCTTTCTCCCTTTTTATGATTAAATTATGAGAATATTTACAAGCATGATAAATCCCAGACTGTCTAAATTAAAACAATTAATAACTGTTTGAGACAATGACTTATTTGATAGAGAATTCCATTTCCTGTTACACTATTCTGCAGGTTGTAATTCAAAACTAACCCCTCATCAGTAAGCATGCTAAATCAATTGTTAAAAACTTCTAAAGAGAAACTAAGTAGAGTCATAATCTAGTAAACATGATGAAGTATAAAAATAGTAAAATTTCACACAAAAGAATAATTTAATAATGAATGATCAAGAAATTGTATTTATCAGTCACAGAATTAAAACATGGTATTTCAGATTTGTATTTTCTTTTGTACTAGTGCCCTGCCAGTGACATACTTAGCAGTGTAGTCTAAAAACAATAATTCTAAGCTTTTGACCAAAAAAAGCTCTGGGATATTAGCATACAGAAGTCTAGCATTAGTATTCTTAACACGATCTTGAATAAATGAAAAAACTGATAAAGCTTTTCTCTTCCATTAGAGGACTGTTTGAAATTAGCATTTCTTTCAAGAGAAAAGGGTAGCTTATGATATGTTTTCAGATCTGATGGTAAAAAGTAAATGTCATAATAATAATGAATTATGAAAGACCAAATGCAAATATAGAATGCTTTAATAAGATCCAATTTAATAAAGTCTGTAAAAATAATGGACTTTTAATAACACAGGTCACAAAAGGCAAAACAGTGGAAATTCTGAGGACTAGCCACTGGTACAGGCTTATTAATTCTTAATTATGTTCATGAAAGGCAACTTAAATCGTGTGTTTTCTTATGCCTTATGATAATATTTTAGGTAACAACTACTCTGAAATATATGCTCTAACTGAAGAGCAAAGTCCTGTTGTCACATACATTAGAAGCCAAATCTATTTGAAAGACAAACCACATTAAAATGTCAAGTGCTCCAAGTAATTTCTTCTTAAAGATACTGAAAAGATTCCAATTTGTAATTTTTTTAATCAATATATACTATATCTAATAAAATGGCTAAAAATTGATAGGCCTGATGAGTACAACATTGGGCATGAGGCACCTGAAGTATGAAAAAAAAATTTCCTGAGAGACAATTCATAGTAGAACTGTGGCCACAGTTGGATGGAAGGCAACGAGCAGGGGTAGCTAGCGAGTATTTTGAAGCCATAAATGTTACTGGCAAATACCTTTCCTTGCCTCCTTGATTCTCTGTCTTTCACAATTCAGAACTATCACACAGAAAGACATTGTCAAAAATGCTAAACAGGGACTGCTAGATCAGAAAGAGCTACGTAGAGACATACCATCTGGTAAAGATAAAATAAGGTGTCCATAAAGCCTGGACATACAAACTCTTAAGCTAAATAATGGGGTTTGTTGTTGTTTGTTTGTTTGTTTATTTTTTCCTTTTCAAAGTGGGAATCTTGGCCTCACAGAAGTAAATGGTGATCTTTTATGGCAAAACGACTTATGTGAGTTCAAGGTTTCACTCCTGGAAGTAATAAAGACAGGGATCAATTGAACTGAATTCCTGAAACTTGTGTGTTAAAACTGTTTCACAGTCTCCAACATGCCATGGAAGAAAAACACTCAAGGTTCATGTGAAAACAAGATATTTAACTGGAAGTGAAAAAGTGCTGTAGAGAATACTGCTAGAAGGAAAGAAACCAAGAGACTGTTACAGTACTAGTTGCACTTGTCATAGGTGTTGGTTTGTTGGTTTTTTTTAAATCAATTCTGTATTTAGTCAGCCAATAACTCAGTCTCAAAATATGCTTGTATAGGTATGGACCTATAGGTATGCAGAGAATTCTGAACGAAGTAGGTATTTCAGTACATTAAAAGATCTCCCAAATAATTTTTTTCCAGGAATTTTTATACATGGAACTTCTGGCTGACTGCATAAACCCTAACAGGCTGTGATACCTCAGGGTCCTCTATAATCAAGGCTGGGAACAGGTTTCAACTCCCTGGCTTCAGAAGATGGCATGTCATGCCAGGCTGTTGCAATGGTAACATATACTTACCTGGTTGAGTAACAGCAGAACAGATGCCAGATGCCACCAATCATGATGGTTTTTTATTTCTTTAGGCCTCTTCTTATAGCCCCTGGTGCCATCTGCCCTCCTCTTTCACAACTCATCCCCTCATCTGCTGCTGCTGCTGCAACCTGCTCAGCTTGCAGGGAGAGTGACCAGCTCACTCATGGACCAGTTACAAGAGCAGCACATCCCAATTCTGACCCAAATGCCACATAGTTGTCACTGCTGCCATCAGCAGCCTTTGTCTTTCTTGGATATGGCGAATGTTGAGATTACTACAGCTGTGATGAGGATGTTCGTGGGGGACGAATAACCAGCTGGTGGTTACCAATGTGTATCTTCAGAGCAGAGTGAATGCACAAGAGAAACTCTTCTCACTAACATGATCCATTAAAATAGATCCTGCCCTTTGGGACTCACTTGTCTGTTGAACTAAAATGTAGTAAAGCCAACAAAAATGTGAAGGTACTAAAACGATGCAAAACTGAATAAAGAGAAAGCAGCAGCAATCTCCCACACCTACGCTGTGTAACTCCTGTTACCAGCGACTACTCGTTCATACACGTGCTCTTCACCAGGTCAGTGGTAAGCAATCAGCAATTACTCCTAACATGTCTCTTCATTTTACTAGATGGGTAAGAATTGAATTTTTATTCATGATCCCTGTTCATTTTTTCTCATGTCTTTTAATAGATTTTGTAGCTACTTAACTGATTTTGCATTTTTTTTTCCCTTTTCTGGCTTGACCACTTCTGTGGTCTTTTTACTTTTTTCCACATTTATATCCAGCAAGAAAAAGTCTCTGTGCTAATATTTACTGTCAGAAGTGTGTGAGTAGGACCATAACAATTTGGTGCAATAACCAATATCTTACTCTGTACATCACTAACAAGGGATTTTCTTACTTTCATCTAAACAGAAGTGTGCCAGATCCTTCAGTGGCATCTCCAGAGCTGCCAAGAGAACTGCCTGTGGAGAGCATCAAAGAGCCAGATATCCCTCCGGGGAGAACTGTTTTCCACAACACACTGGATTACTGTGATCTCCAACCAAAAGTGGAAATAGAGGAATGCTGCCAGAAAGGGAGGGCAAATGGCACCCTACTAGTCCTTTTATTTTTAAATTACAAAAATATTCAAGAGGGGAGAACTATGAGAAAGGCAAAAAAAGCATTTTATGAAGGAAAAATGCATTTTAAAAAAATCTCAAAAAGTTACAAGAATAAAGTTCATCAAGAAAAGTAATACTTTTGGCAGAAAGCATCATTTCTCTACTTCTTTCATGACTTGCTAGCAATGAAACCAGTAGTTACTAAAGCTACAGAACAAATGTGAACACTGACCATGGCTTGACAAATGCAAAAACAAACCCTAAGAAAATTACAAACTTTTCTTAATTTTTAAAATGTCAATGGAGCAGGTATTAATTAATCCTTAGACATAGTTCACTACTTAGTTAAAAGCAGCACACAGGAAAAATTATTCTGGTGGAATGGAGATGTTAATTTGAGGGGCTGCTGATCACTGCGCAGCAGTTATCCCTCCACATGCACTCTGAGATAACCGTTGAGAAGAGTTATGTTTGTAGCACATTAGTTTGCCAGAAAATAATGTTATAATTCCCTACTAGCTAATATGTGACACAATATACTAAAAAATACTCCTGGCATAACTTTTTTGGTAATTTTATCATAAAATGCAATTTATATAATATTACTTTAAAAAAGACAAGTATGAAAAAATAACAGCTTTAAAAATCTACTTTAAAAAAAATTTTGATATTTTACAGTCTCAAAAACAAAGAGAATACTTATTACAGCTTGTACCTGAGCGATGGTAGCTATGTACCTACCATAGCTCAGGTATACCATGTAGAACTTTGTAAATGATGGGGTTTAGCAATAATGTTTTTTGTGAGAAGATGCAGCTTTTAATTTTTAACAACAAAATTGGCCATCTCTGGCCAAAGTGCTGATCATCAAAAGTGTTGATCTGAGAGCTCAGTATTTTTTAATCCCTGGAAAGCTTTTGATCTACATAATACCTATTTACACCACAGAATACATATTGTCTTTGAGGGGGAGAACCTGAAGGAGAAAGCCAACCCCCAGGTGGGAGATGACAGCTGTTTCTGATGGGAGGTGTTTCATCATTAGAATGACTGGTATTATCTCATTGTTTCTTTATGTATCTCCTGCTCATGTACTATGTTGTTTCATATTTTTGTTATTTATATGGACAGGATCTACTGCAGTCAAGTTTAGATCCATGATTATGCAAGATGCCTCCTTACCACACCAGGAATAAGAACAAAAAGCTGTAACTTCTTTCTTGAGCATGATGAAAACAATGATGAATATTAAATATGCCAGATTCCTGATTATTTTTATTAATAATTATATACTGTGTAAAGTCAACATAAGACTCATTAAAATGTTAATGTAAAAATAACATTTTTGTATTCGATATTTACATTAAAAAAACCTAAAGGCTAAGGTCATTAAATGGTATATTTAAATGAGTTTGCTATCTATAGTCTCCATAATACAGAGTTATTGTCTTACCCACATTGGTAGGGCCATAACTGTTGACTCAAACACAAGGGGGAATGAGCAACAGATGCAAGGCATGGTCCTAAAGATGCATAAAGCAGCCTGAAATAAGTGTGGATATCCTCTTTAGTATACACACACTAAATATCTAGGAATTCAGATGTAAAACCCATTATTTTATCCACTTTTTCTTATGTGAGAGTAAAGCACAGATGAGTGGTTTATCAATCTCTTCATAAACCATG